AAGAAAAAATAGTCTGACCTGTAAATGCAGATTAGAAATGCAAGTCAAAATAAGAAGAAAATGGTAAGAGACCACCTATCCACTCTAGACGAGTTCAAATCACAGGACAAGATGGATCACACCCCAAGGTTCTGAAGGATCTGGCAGACATGATCACACAACTACTAAACTATATCTTTCAAAGAACCTGGAGCACCAGGAACTATAAGATGACTGGAAAAAGGCTGATGTAGTTTCCATTTTCAAAAAAGAAAAAAAAATGGATCCAGGAAATTAGAGACCAATCAGCCCGACATCAATACCTGCGAAGGTTCTGGAAAAGATAAGCAATGAATCTACGAACACCTAGAGGCAACCCAAGTCACAACCAGAAGCCAACACGGGTTTGTCAAAAACAGATCATGCCAGACAAATCTTATTGCATTCTTTGACAAATTAGTGGACCAGCAAAATGCTGTGGATATGGTATACCTGGACTTCAGTAAGGCATTTGATAAAGTAGACCTACTACTTGATAAGTTAGAAAAATGTGGGTTAGACAACATTACCACCAGTAACTGGCTGACCAACCGTACTCTTTGTGTAGTCCTTAATGGAACTGCATCTACATGGAGGAAATACAGTATGCAGTGGGGTATACCAGGGCTCTGTCTTAGGTCCAGTACTCTTCAATACTTTCATCAATGATTTAGACAAGGAGATAGAAGGGGAAGGCATCAAATTTTCAGATAACACTAAGCTGGCAGGAATAGCCAACACTCCAGAAGACAGGGTCAAGAACACTGGGCCCTATTTAACAAAATGAAATTCAAAGCTGTTATGGTAGTTTCTGCATTGAGAAGTAGTTGGATTAAATAATCTACAAACCTTTTGATCTCTTACATTCTATGAGTCACATATTTCACAAAAGTTCCTACTCATTTAGTGGTTAGCCATCAAATAATAGTTTTACTATACTTTTTGAACCTGTTTCATTTGTTCACCTACTGAGTAAAACCTGTAGACCAATATATTTCATTCAGATAGCCCCAGTGAATATGGTCTTAATTCACCATTATATCCAATCTTCTTTTACTATTTATCTGGACAATCTTATCTTTTACTTTATTCTCTTTATTTACTTTAATTCTTCACTCAACCAGACTTAACTTAAAAACCTTACAATGAACAAGGTACTTTTTCTTCAATAAGATATTTGATCTATGCTACAGAAGTTGTTAGTTGCCTTTGTGTTAAAAATATACCTTGAAAACTATCAGGAGATTAATTCCTTTGCAAATATCATATGTTTAATACAAATAAGAGGGCAATATTTGTTAATAATTGCATTTCATAATCCCTTAATTTTTTGTATATGCAGTATTATTCATAACACATTTCACTTTGTCCTAAACACACACACACATTAGAAATGTTATGACTGGTTTATTCAGGTGCCATGGTATTGGTAACTTGTTTTGAAAAGGTTAGACAGTCTAATTTTAAGGCTGACACAAATCTAAACACACGATGTCTAGCCATCAAAGGCCAAGTTCCTCATATTAAGTTCATTATGCTAGATAAGTAAATTTAGATCAAGACCAAACTAGACATATAACATGCCTGGACCTGCTACAAAGTAATCTTGAAGTCTAAGAACAATTATATAGGAAACTGGCAAAATTAATTTATTTTGTATTTGAATCTGAAGTTAAAGATTATTAGTTAAAAATAGGCAAAAGTCTGCATATAATGCATGTTTAAGAAAATGATATACAAAAGTACATTATAGTAAGGAAAACTGCAAAAAATATATATTTGGAATAGGCAAACCAAAGTGAATAAGTTTGGGTAATGTCATAAAAATCCATTCTAATTTAATGCAAATTAATAAAAGAAAAAGATTCCAGAAAAATGGTTATAAATACATGCAAAAATTTGTAGTGCTGCTCAGCTCTCTTTCATTGTCAACTATGGTTGTCAACTATTACTGGAATCAATATCAGATACTTTTGTCCCAACTAATATATTCATATGACACAATATGTATAAATATGTATAAATACAATATGTACACATATGCAAGGGCCCCATTCCAAAATCAACAAATTTATGATAATAAATATTTAATAAAACATTCCATGGGCAAAATTAATTGGTCCACATCTACATACAAACATTATCTCACATGTAAACCATCCTCTCTATGCATAAACAAGAAAAGCGTAGTCATGACAAACAAGCAGACCTATTGGAAATCTGGCTTCTGCAAATATAAAGCTGTGCATACTAACTTCAACATTAGTTCTGTTAAATTCATTTACACCTATTCTCTGATTAAGTACATACAGGCTGCTATGCTATCGTTAGTCCTATTTACAGAAAGTCCTTCTCTTTTGAACTTTAATGAATATGAACAAAGCTGTCTGCAACTCCAACCTAGAAGTCTATGGAGATTCTCAGTCATCCAGGTCATAGTTATCCTAAAGATGCTTTTTCACAAGGCAGCTGGACTTTCTTGTTTTTCTTTGAAAATGTTTTGCTTCTCCTCCAAGAAGCTTCTTCAGCTCTGACTGGATGGTGGGAATGGGAAGATTTATATTCCTTGCAGACAGCTGGTCATTTGCATTCTTTTAGCGAGTCGTTAATGCTACCTGGAGGCTTATCTGTCTTCAGGATCACCTGAGCAGTGCAAATGTGTGTGGCGCCTCCTTGGAACTGCCACAGAGCCATTAGTAAATAACCCAACCAAAGAATCCCTAAGACCGCCCCCACCCACCCAGACAGGCAAGACACCAGAATATAAACAGACAGCAAACAGCACTCCTTACTAGCACAGATTATGTTACAAGTCAGGGTAATGAAACGTCTGCAAGAAAACAAGCAAGCTCAGAGAGCATCAAGGACCCCACAATTTATACAACTATTACATGCTTTATTTTGGATTGTCCTAAGGGACGATCTGGGCAACAAGAGTGATAATGGAATAAATAGACCTCATTTAGCAATTTCATATGTGAAAATAGATTGGCTAAATGCATAGAGAAATATATATGGATATATTATACTAAGTATGTTTTTTGACCAAAATCTAGAAAGTTAGAGAAGTTGGAGAAGCATTTATTTATTTATTTATGAGACTTATATACCGCTTTAAGTGCAAGCACTCTCTAAGCGGTGTACACCAGTAAGCAATGTATATATATATATTTACATTGCTCCCAACAATCTGGGTCCTCATTTTACCTACCCCGGAAGGATGGAAGGCTGAGTCAACCTTAAGCCGGCAAGATTTGAACCGCTGACCTGCTGAACACAGTCAGCTAAAGTGGCCTGCAGTACTGCACTCTAACTGCTGCGCCACCTCGGCTCTTATCATTACCAATTTTTATCAGTATTCATGTTTGTATACCATAGAAAAGCTTGTGTTTCTATATATTTGCCTCCTTATACTGGTTATTTCTGAAACAAGCATTCCGGGAGACATGGAGAAGAAAAATACATAGTGTGAAAACTATTAATTAAAATATTTATATTTTGCCTTTTAACTTCAGCAGGGGTCTAAAGTGGCTTATTGAACCTGAATTGAAATAATATAAGCTAGAACAAAACAAAGTACAGAATTAATGAAGTTGATAATGGGACAGAGTAGAGCTACTGCAGTTGCTGTTAATGAAGAGGCTCATAGAAAAAAAAATAAGCTGCATTAAATTTAATCATATATTAAAAATTTCCAGAGTTTATATTTGAATCCTTTCATTAATAAATGCTATGAGATCTAATGAAGAATAAGAACTAAAACCTGCAAGCTCCTTATCAAGCATCAGTAATAAGAAGCAAGCTCATTAATATTGTATTCTTTTTTCCCCACTAAATTATATGAATTGCCTTTTCCTTTAGATTTTACTTTTTAAAATAGTTCAGAGTTTTTCACCTCAATTTAAGAAAGCTGATAAAACCAGTCTATTTAATTATGCAGCGGAAGTTAGCTTTTTTGAATTAAATATGTGGAAAAGATACTCAAGATAATATATTCCACTCAACTTCCAGGAAAAAATCCTTCATATCATTAAAATCCTTTAATGCATTTTAATTTTTCAAATAATTCTGAGGATTAAAATAGTTTCTTGTCTCTTCCATTGTTTTGTAAAGGATTAGCTTGTTACTTTTATCATGCAACTAAAACCACAGATTTTAAAGCAGGGCTTTTCAACCAGTGGTACGGGTACCACCTGTGGTACATTGGCACCTGACAGGTGGTACGCGACCATCCTAGAAAAGTGGTAGCAGGGGAGGGGAATGAGCTGAACCGGTGGCAGCACCGCACAAGCCTGAGCGAGAGAGGGCTGGAGCTGCAGGGCTGTCAGGGCTCAGCGGAAGCACCAGGATCAGTGCCAGGCTCCAGCTGGAGCTTGGCACTGATCCTGGTGCTTCTGCTGAGCCCAGAAGAAGCGCCGATCAGCTGGAATGTTGCACCATCTCCAAGGTCTTGTATTTACATTCAGATGCTTGGCAACTAATTCATATTTATGATGGTTACAGTATCCCAGGGTCATGTGAAGTGACTAAAACCTGCTGCAACCACCCAGCAGATGGGGGGAATAAAAACCAAACACCCCTTTACCCGACCCCTGCTGCCAATCCTCAACAGAAATGCTCACAACAATGAAAACCTCCGACAGGAGGAAGAGCGCCGCCGGGTGGGCAGGCAGGTGCCTTGCTCGGCTGTGGCTTGGGGGGGGAGACTTTTTTCAGTGCCACTGTAACTTCGAACAGTCACTAAGTGAACTGTTGTAAGTTGAAGACTACCTATACTTCATCACTTTTTTCCTTTTCCTTTTTTTTTTTGATCATCATGTTTTTCACACCTTACTGGTGGTACTCGGATATTGCCATATCCTAAAAGTGATACAATAGGTGAAAAGATTGAAAAGCCATTTTTTAAAGCATAGAATCTGTAAAAAAACCTTTCTGTTTGAGACAATTTTCTGGAAGATCAAAGTGTAAGAAAACAAAATTACTTCAGTGTTTTCAGTTTTTATTAACAGTACAAGTAATGGTAGGAATGAAATGAAATTTAAAATAAAGGCATCTTGAACAATATTAAGTTATGTGACATCCATTTAAATACTTTTAATCAATATAGTCAAAATCTTCTGGTATACTAAATGTTTTGTCAATTTTGTTATCTTCAAATCCAAACTTCCGTTTAGCCCAAGATTTTACAGCAAATATATTATCTGTAAATAAAGTAGATGAAAAATAATGGACATTAGGGCTTCAAGTGTTTATAATGATAATCATGGTAAAAGACCCTTAAAGTTTAAAGTTAATTAACATATCTACAAATTGTCATCCTGAGGCCCCTCCTCAGACATAAATCACCTTTTGGGTTGCATCATCTAACAGTGATTATTTTGTAATTTCCAGTTCTCATGTACAGATGAGGATAAGAAATCCCTTTCCTGTATAAGATATTTCAGTAGTAATAGTTTTCCAAAAAGCAATTGATTGCACCATAGGAACAGGGCAAATAGTTCAGCACAAAATCTACTGAGCTTAGAACTTGACATACATACACACTTAGTAACTGAGGAGTTATTTTGAAAAGTCATATGTCTCTGGAGGTTTCGATACTGGTAGGCACCAGTTTTTCCTCTGTTTATTTAGATTCTATCTAGATTTTAACCAAAATTGTCAGGAATTTTAAAAAAGAAACCAATCCTTCCCTCTCTGTGATAAAATTGATGTTGAAACATGATTATGTACTAATTATTTTGAACTTGTTTACACATGACTTTCCTGGAAAATTGTCCCAATGTGGAATATGATATAATGTGATGAAACTGTAATTACAATATAAAATCATATACCATTCATATCATCATTCACAATAATCTGACAAAGACCAAATCAATTTGTAGGATTACCATGATTCATATACTACTGTGCACTCTAATTTAAAACCTCAAGTAACTTCAGATTAATGTACACACACACATTTTACTACTTTTTATTCAAATATTTGCTTAGTTTGCACCATTATTCATCATTATTTGTAGATTAGTTGAAGCTTGTCATTCAGTGTGTGTATATCTTAGCATCCAAACAATAAAAGAAGTGATACCTAGCAAAAACTGAGAGTCTACTGTATATCTAACAATGAACAAAAACATTGAAATATTTGAATCAGAAATCATAAAAATTATATTTATGTTTGCATTTATGACCAATAGCAAACTTCACCAGTAATAGTTATTTTTGGAGTTTTCAGCAATCTATTGCCTGGCAAATAAGTCAGTTCTATGTAAAAATAGTAATTTAAATCTTAAATTAAAAATTGTTTTTTCCATGTATTTATTTTTGTCCACAGAAGAATGTGTAAAATAATGTAATGCAGACATACCAGTCCATCTGTTGGCTGCTTCCTTAGCTATTTTATTTGCTTGACCTAAAAAGAAAAAGAAATAAAGAAATAAAATTCCATAGAAGCAATTCTATAGATCAATAACTGAACAGATTCAAAATAATAAAACTATATTTTCAAACTTATTATACATTTTAAATAACTTGAAAATATTTTACTGTACTTTTGAAGTTAATATTCAACCAATTCTCAAAGATTAGTGAAGTTACACCAAAGTGAAATTATATGCTGAAATAATGGATTCTACCAGTTACATCTGAAATTTCTTGACATATATTTTGCTGTACTATAGGAAAATAAGAATACTTTAGTGCTTCACTGAATTAGAAGAGTCTGTGCTCTAAAAAGAAACACTCTTATTGTATAAAAATTTTAAAATCAGGATATCTGAATTATGTGATGCATAATAAAGAATTTTATTTGAAATAATGCTTTTATTACTACTTTTCATCAAAGATGAATATATTTATAAAAAAACAAAACATTGGCAAATTACAGAATCTTGTAAAATCCCTTGCTCATTTGTTATAAATTATTGGGGCAACTTCTTAATGTTCCAGTTCATACATTCTCATTATTCAAATTCCTCTGCTATGGGAGAATTTATGAAATGGGAATTGGCAGCTAGTAAAGTTCATAAGTGTATGCTGAAAAAGTTTCTGTATCCAAAGTTCTACACCAATGTGTTTGATTGCTTATAGAAACAGACTACACTAAGGCAGGGGTGTCAAACTCAATTTCATTGAGGGCCGCATCAGCATTGCAGTTGCCCTCAGGGGGCCGGGTGGGTGTGGCCTACTGGGTGGATGTGGATGGAGTGGGTGTGGCCTACTGGGTGGGTGTGGCCAGCTCTACACTGCTCGTGTCAAGGGCACCTTTGGGGGCCTGGGCAGGAGTGGGACAGATCTGAGGGTCTCTGGCAGAAGGGGATGGGACCAGGGCAAGTGCCAAGGAACGGTCCACCAGAGAAGCCTCACTGTTCCTCTCAGGCCATGCAGAGAGTGGGGGCTTATGGAGCTAAGACTAAATGCATTTCAGCATAGATGGCCACCACAAAATTGTACATTGGCTCCCGGCTGGCCTGGGCCAGGGCCAAGGCAGAGGGGGCCGTTCTCTTACTGTTTCCAGGATGGCTTCGTGGGCCACATGAAACCACTTCGCAGGCCGCATTTGGCCCCCAGGCCTTGTGTTTGACATGTCTGGTTTAAGGTGAACACCTAAAATATATAGATCCATTTTATGAGACTATTTAATCACATACCAAAATAATTCAGAAATATTTCTAGGCTAGCCTATGATCACTCAAATGATTGTGGGGAAGGGGCTATTGGGCCACATGGAAACGAGTCTTATAGCAAATAAGGTTTTACAGTTTTCTTCTAATTTTCTGAATTGCATACTCCAGCAGGCTTCCATAGTGAGATCCTGAAATTATTTATAGTTCTCACATCCACATATAGTCCTGGTTTGTCAGTACCTGTCCAGCACTTTAGCAGTACTGGTCAATGTATAAGTTTGTCTCTGGGAATGAGAAAAATTAATGCAACATAAAATGTTGTTGTTATAAATTTACACTATTAGCAAGACTGAATTTGCAAAATGAACTGTTAAATATGTGGCAGAACAAGTGCCCAACTCCAAATACTAGCCTGTAAGATGAAGAACTATTTTATTTAAAACTTGCAGATGAGATCATACAGCTGCTTTTTTAAAAAGTGCAAGTATTTAGAAAAGCTTCCATACTTTTGACTTTGACTATAAAACAAAAACATTTTTAAAATGAAACTTAGTATGCTAAACTACTGAGTAAATAAAAATATAACTTCAGATTAAAAATCATAATAATAAATTTAAAATAAATTAAAGGAAGGAAGGAAAAAGAAAAGAAAAAAGGATCCTGTAAATTACATTACAGGATATGTAATTACATTACATATCTAAAATGATATGTATTCATTGAAATGATAAAATGAATCATGAATAAAATTATGATTTCACTAGGACCCAAAATAAATATTTCAATTACTTTTAATAATCATATTTTAATCAAAATATCAAATAAATTAATGATAAAACTTTACAACTTTATAAGTCTGTTTTATTGGAAATAAGCAAAAATACTTAAAATTTGAAACACTATTTGTAATAGGATGTTCTTGCTTGCTTTTGCATAATTTCTGAAATTTGAGTTTTATTTTGTACATAATTATTCTTATTTACTGAAATCAAAGAAAAAGAAAAAAAGAAAAAGAAAAAACTTGCTTCAAAATGCTGCAGTTTGCAAAAAAACTGACAGGGAATAAACTTTTTTCACTCTTTCCTCCCACGCAGACAGAGTGTGATAACAACCACAGGCCAATTTGTCTTTTCTTTCTAGCCTAGTATTTGAGTCCCTTGGCATTCTTGCAACTTTTTCCTTCTTCATAGTCCTTTTCCCTTGCTCTCTGTTGCAATTCTATCTGTAAAAAAATGATCTTACAGTCCAGGTAGATCTACAACCCTCATGTTAAGAAAACCTCTTATACAGTACAAACAGAATTTCAATTTTTTTTATTGTATTAAGATGTTCCTCCTTGCTCCTCTGTCAAATATTGATAGAGAATAAATAAAATTGCTGCAAATCAGCTATAGATTTTCCCTGAAAGTATTGTATAATATTTTTAGCCAGACCCCAGACCCCTAAAATCTACAGTTCTAAGACGAACATAGCATCTTGAATAAATAGTGATACATCCAAATTAACGTTAACAATCTTACCAATGTTGGCCCAAAATAGGACTACAGAGTAAAACCAAACTCTGAGTAAGTTCCAACTCCTGATTTAATTTTAACCATCCTGTATAAAACCTATCTGAAGCTTCCAATGTACATGAAACAAAATTTTGTTTTAAAGCACCACTCCATTGGTTTGCAAAGATAGAACACTCAAGTTGTTATTGCAGAAGTCACATAAATAACTTGCAGCAATTTCATCAACTTTGTATGACAGTTATTTGCTTAAGCGTTATTAAGATACCGTTCTTGCTCTCAGGCCATGGAGATCTATTAAAAAATTGTTCAGGACATGTCATCACATGGAGTTTCTATCTCTGTTCCGATTCTGTTCCAATGAGGCAGGCTAAATGAAGTTGATCTGACAGGCAAATGGAGTTTTCTGTCAGAAAATGCAATACAATCCCCTGAGGGAGATCAATGACCAGTAGGTTTCCAGATGCTCTGATGCAGGACCACTCATTCTCTAGCCCTGAGGCTCTATTATCCCTTGTGCTTTTCTGCTAGAGAAAGCCCACCCAAGCAACTGGAAAAGCTCTGTGCTTGCTACAGAACAGAAAAAAATAGTGGGAGCAGAAAAACTAGAAGCCTCTGTAGAATAAAAAATCTCCTAAGGAGACAGGCACCCTTTATCATCCCTGCTTCTGTTCCTTGCACTTGCTCTTATCTCTGAATTTACAAGCAGCAGTCACCTACAAGTGAGGGTAGTAATTTTGGAAGCATATCAAGAAGTATATTGTGGGGGGGGGGGAAGCAGATTTAAAAGGAGCAGGCCTTCTGCTACTCAGGGACACAGGTAGTCCTCAAGTTACAAAGGCAATTGGGACTGGACTTTCCAACAGAAAGTGAAGTGGTCATAAAGTGTGATGTCACGTGACTGCATTGCTTAGTGATAGTAATCTTGGTAGTCCTTGTTGCCATGATTAAGCAAAGTTTGCAGGTCCTTAAGTCAGGACCTCATGTGACCATGACTTGTGATCTTGGAAGACTACTCTCTTACAACAAGCAGTCAATGGGGAAGCCAGCATGAAGTCATAGGCCCTGGGGAGCTTGCAAGCAGGCCAGCAGATGGATGAGTGCTAATGAGTGCAGCCCCAAAGGAAAGGGCTCTTGTAGTGCTGTGCAAATATTGGGCAAACAGGCATGTTCTACAGATTGCAAGCAGGAAGTGTGCTGTGGGTGGGCCCATGCAACTAATCTCATACTTTGTAGTAGGCTCCTTAGGAAAAAAGATGGCAGAAGCGACTTATGGGAGCAACTTGCGACCTTCCCTTCCAGCTTCCCCATTGACTTGGATCAGGTGACCATACAATGCTGCAACCACGTAGGTGCCTGAATCACAATCACATGATTAAAAGGATGATGTGACAGTTGGAACTTTGAGTTTTGGTCATAAATACCATTCATTCGGTGCCGCTGAGAGAGTAATTGTTAACTGTAGGTGTTAATCCCACAAAAACATATAACCAATGTAAACACAGCAAGAAAACAGAAGTATGAAGGATCAACTGCAGATATAATACAAATACAGTTCCAGTTATAAATTTCTGGAAAGATAATAAAATAACTTTACATTATTCATTGAAAATTCTTCCAGTAGTTTTTCCACTGTCAACATATTTCTTAGAAACAGCACTCAATAGAGAAAAATAGTTTGTGGGAAGGCAATTAACAAGACAAAATTTATGCCATATTGGTGCTGTATTTGAGAATACACTATATCTTTAGGTATTAATATTGGGTTTACTATAATCAAAAGGGGAAAGGGGAAGAACAAGAAAAGAGATCTAAATGCATTAGAACCGTCAACCTTTTTTTATGAAGTTGTCATTTTAGAAAGTGTGGAGTATTATGAAATAACAAATTATTACTTTAATAAAAAAGTATAATTTGAATTTTCATTGAGAATATACTGGCAATGTAGTGAAATAAGAAAAAAAGAAAAAGAAAAAACTTTTGACCTGGGAAAAACATCAAGCATGAATAGCTAAATTTACAAAACAAGAAGTAGCTTGGACCAGTATGAGTTGTCAGCTTGCAAATATCCACCAACAAGCAAGTTTTGTAGTTTCTTTTTCAGCTAACAATAGCCAAATACTCTGAAACACTTTCAACTTAGTTATCAAATAACACAGTATGTGATAAATTCCTCCCCCCCACCAATCCAAAAGAAAACATTTCTGTAATGCTACTCTATCTTTGGCTTGGATTCATTTATTCCAGTACCTTCTAAAATCATAATTGATAGACGC